GGGGAGGGTGAGTCGGTGGGGTTTTTGGGGAGGGGGTTCTTTGGGGAGGGGGAAGGGGGACGGGGGAAGAGAAAGGGAAAAGGAAAAGGAAAGGGAGGTAGAGTAGAAAGAGAGAGCAGGGGATGGGAAGAAAAAGAGGGAATAAAAAGGAAGGAAAACATACCAAAGCAACTACATTCAAACTAAACAACAACCAATAACTCCTCCCACCAACTTCATCATTAAATTTTGGCCAGGGTTGAGTCAAAGCCAAAAGGCAAACAGTTTGACCAAGGAGCGATAGACCAAATCCTTTATCACGAACTTCCTGTGGAAAGATTTCCGATGCGATAGCAGGGGTTACCGGACCATTTGACCAACAGCTAGAAATCAAAATCAGCATTTCATATTATTTCTTCCTTCCGAAGAAAAACAAGATAAAAAAAAACAGCAACAAGAACTCACTAAGTCAAACCCACAATAAACAACATCGTCACCTCCGCCACCGCCGCCCTCTGATTTGTATTATCCGGATACTTCGTCGTCAAACTACTTAGCACCAACAACGCGAAACTCTGAATGCCAAACCCCGCTATCAATAAACTTTTCCTCCCAAATCTATCCACCGTAAAGGTATTCACAAGCACAATCACTAGTTGTAACGCTGCCTGTATGCCATTAATAGCTAGCGCCTGATGACCTGCGTCCCAGCCTAGCGATTTGTAGATAATGGCCGCGTACATGGTGAGTGCGGCTATCCCACCAAATTGCTGCAGTGCCATGACATAGATACCGTACGCGAGACGTTTACGCATACCGGCCGAGGATAGGAGACCCACGTAGCCTGTTTTGAAATTCTTGCGGTATTCGTGCGAGGAAACGAGTTCGTGAAATTCAAGACGCACGTGGTCGTCTGTAACGATGCCAGATCGTAATTTAGCGAGGATCGAGAGGGAAAGTTCGGGGGTCTCGGGATATTTCTCCAAGAGCCAGCGGGGAGATTCCGGGTACCAGAAGGAGAGGATGAGGAACATGACGCCGATGGGTACCTGGATGACGTTGGAGACGCGCCACGCGATGTTGAAGGGGGTGATGTGGAAGGACATTCCGTAGCCGGTCCAGAAGGCTATGAAGGTTCCGAGTTGATAGCCGAATTGCGAGACGGTTCCTACGAAGGATCCGCGCAGGCTGCGAGGCGCACATTCGGCGACGTAGAGATTGGTGGCTATGTAGACGCAGCCGAAGCCGAGGCCGGTTATTAGACGACCGAGAATTAGGACGCTGTAGGTGTTGGGGACGACTTGGATGATACTGGAGATCGTTAGGGTTTGTCGAGAATAAGGGTGAGAGAGATGAGAGGGGGGCCTACATCCCGATAATCATAATACTGATTGAAATTCTCAATGCCCAAAGTCTACCAACCCAACTTGCTAATGGACCTCCAATACATAATTGAGCAAACCCTATATTTTCCACACGTCAGTATCTATCTGTATATATCAACACAAGAATACCCAAAACACACCAGTAGTAGCCCAAGGAATCGTAGCAATAACCCCCTGTCTCGTAGCATCCACCGCATAATATTTCGTAAACTGTGGATCTGCCAAAATAACCGTCATGATACCCGCATCATAACCATTAAAGCAAGTTGAAAAGACCATTCCGTAGAGTAGGAGTGCGGCATAGCGATCATTTGCCGGGAGGAATGTTTGTAGAAACCCCATGTTTGTTTATCACACGAAGATGCGGAGATGGAGTTGGAGATGGAGGTTGAGAAAAGAGATGGATGAGTGGAAAGTGGGAAAGTCTCATTTGTGCATGAGGTGAGGTTTATGGTCTATATATGTATGTGGACGGAATAGTAATGGCCATGGTCCATACCGATATACCCAGGATATCTGAAGAACCCCGCATGCAACACGCATGTGTTGGTCAGTCCCATGGGACGGGTGAGTACTAGGTATGCAAAAGCTGGGGAGAAGTTCAGGGTTGTTTCCGGTGGGGGAAATTCGTGGGGTAGACCGGGGTAGGTTCCGGTGGGCGCGAGTTTACTAGACCCACTTGAATGTAGCGAATATATATCACGACCGGATGATTTTTGTGCCATCATTTCCTCAATTGGTGCTACTATAAAATATCACTTATAATACTTATATATATGTATATGTATCGATGTGGCGTTGAGGAATAAAAGTTTTGAATTAAAACCTACCATCTAACAACCCAAAATCCATCATGGCATACCCTCAAAATTCATATCTTCAAACAACTTTCACCACTCCAGGATTCATCAGTAGAAGACGAGATACCGTATACTTAACAACCTTACTATATCAATTGGAAGTTTTGAAAACCACTGGAAGATACGATGCGTTTAAATTACAATGGCATCCATCGTATAATGACGAACCGGATGTTTGGCCAGTACCCAATCATCTGTTCTGGGACTCGGATATTGCGAAGTGGATAGAAGGAGCTTGTTACTTTTTGCAGTGTGAGGAAAATTCGGAGATTGATGCTGCGGTTGAGGAGTTGGTGGATATGATTAGGTCTGCTCAACAGGAAGATGGATATCTGAATATTCATTTTACCGTTGTTGAGCCTGGGAAGAGATTCACGAACTTAAGAGATCTGCATGAATTGTAAGAATCCCCTAGAATCCGACGATTAAGCTGACATGGCATCAAGATATAATGCTGGTCACTTGATTGAAGCTGCACTTGCACATAATCAATATTACAGGAATAACCTCTTACTGGAGCCAATTCTGAAATATGTTGATCTACTAGCTTCAACCTTTGGACCGAATCCAGAACAAAAACACGGATACCCTGGTCATCCTGAGATTGAACTTTCTTTTCTACGTTTGTATGAAAAGACAGGAGATCCCAAACATTTGAATCTCGCAAGATATTTCATAAATGAGAGGGGAAATCTAAAGGGACAAGATGGTCGACATTACTATGATGTAGAAGCGGAAGCGAGAGGCGATCGACCAAATGAGATGCCAAAATATTTTCCTGAAAAGCGAAGCTATTGGTGAGTGTTTGAGTCCTGGATTGATATAAGAGAATTAATCATCCTGCTAGGTATCAACAAGCACATGAGCCAATAGTTGAGCAAGAAACTATTGAAGGCCATGCTGTTCGAGCAATGTATCTTTTAACAGCCGTCTCTGATCTTGTACGAGTTGATAACGCAGGAGATACAGAAGCAAAAAGAACTGCAGTAGAGCGACTGTGGAATAACATGGTGCAAAAGAAGATGTACCTGACAGGAGGAATCGGAGCCATAAAACAATGGGAAGGTTTCGGGATTGACTACTTTCTGCCTTCGGGTACAGACGAGGGCGGATGTTATTCAGAGACCTGTGCGGCTATAGGGGTTATGATGCTTGCCGAGAGACTTTTGCAGGTAAAGAAACCGTACAATCAGTTTGGTTGAGATACTAACATCACCAGCTTGATTTGGACGGGAAATACGCCGATATCATGGAGCTGTGTTTCTACAACGCTGTTTCTACGGGTATGTCATTAAATGGGAGACAGTTCACATATGTCAATCAATTAGCATCAAGTGATACCGATCTATCCCAACGGGCGAAGTGGTTCACATGTGCTTGTTGTCCACCTAATGTCACCAGACTTCTGGGGTATATTGGTGGCTACCTTTGTGAGTTTTGCAGTTGTTTCATTCTGGCTAAATAGCTAGGCTGATGTAATATAGGGACTTCTTCTTATGACGAAAAGAAGAATTTCGTGGAAGTCAATGTCCACATGTATGCTTCTGCAATATTGAAAATCCAGGTAGCAGAGCACACAGTGGAGTTGGAACAAAAGACAAATTGGCCATGGGATGGGAATATCCAATTTGAATTGAAGAATCCTCAAAAGATACCAACAACAATCAGACTAAGAATACCTGGCTGGGCAGAGGAATGGACTGTAAGAATGTTGCCCCGAGGCAAAGACAAACGCTAATTGGTTCCAGATACTCCCAAAGCTCGAAGGAGATGGCCCAAAGCCCGTGAAAGGATACTTAACCATCCCCAATGATTATCTGAAAGCACATCCAGCATTTCAACTGAACATCCCACTAAAACCACGATATATCTCACCACACCCATACACGAACCAAAATATCGTAGCGCTAGCTCGTGGTCCAATAGTCTATTGTGTTGAGGATTATGATAACCCGTGGGTAGATGATCATTTCAAGGTATGAAGCTCTTGTGCGACCAATCCATTTCCAAGCTTAACAGTTTTCAGAGTCTCTTGTTTGACACCGTGGGTAAAATAATGGAAATGAATGCGGATATGAATAATGAGCCGTATAAGAGATTGTCGGTACATAATGCTGCTACGCTTTGTGGGATTCCAGAACAGGCAAGACCAGATGTAGCTCACAAGGTGGAGGGTCTTATCGGGTTGGATATTGAGGAGCTTCACTTTATTCCATATGCTCTCCGGGATAATCGAGGGGGGAAAGGACATATGAGAGTTGGGTTGCGGAGACTTACTACACCGGTATAATTTAATATGCATATGATGTACGTACGAAATGTAGATAGTTCTTGGCTGAAAACGAGTAAGATGAAGAGCTTCATAGAGAATTCGATCATGCCAATCTTCTATTCCGCAATAGTATGGATTCGATTGCGGCGAGTAATTCCTAGTGGATTGATTCCGGTTGATTCCCAGTATGTAGAGATATTGACCCAGTTTGATATAGTGATGACACCGGGAAGTATGATAATCAGCCATGTAATGCTGCGCTTGTAATAAGGAGAACCGAAGAATAGGCACCGGCGTAGAGATAGAAGGAGATGATATGATTCACGGAAGGTGTTGAAGCATGAATAACTCTGATAGATCTCTAGTAGCTGGCTCAGTTCATAGTAATCAGAAGTTCATATTTCTAATGAGAATACCGGTATCCTTAAGATGATCATGTAGAAATCGAACACGTAATGTAATTATCACCCATTTAACTATGAAGTAATTAACGATATACATGTTTGATAACCAAGCATATAATATACTTGATAGTCATATAGTATACGAGTACCCTAGTACCCTAGTACTACTACGGACTGTATGTACAAATCAATATGTCACTAATACTGAATTTGTACGCACCAAAACTCGATATCTATATAAACATCCAAAGCCCCCCTATGATATACTACAACCACAAATTATATGTCATCACATATAGCATTGTACAGCAACACCTAGCACCCCCATCTACCCTACACTCATAGGTTTAGGTTTAGATACTGTACACAACGCTCATATACGATTTAGCCCCCAACTCATCGACGTTTCCTTTTGAGGAGGACAGACAGGGTTACATCTCAAGCATGTTGTACTCCGTACGAATAAACACGATTTTGATACAGCCGGATATGCATACCCGAGAATCCAATTCGTTCAGAATGAAGGGGGACAAGCCAAACCAATAACATCATCTCTTCTATAGTATCGCACAGATGTTACACAACATCATCTATCGTTCATCATACTGTAAAGACTTTCCATCAAATCCCTTCACATCAACATCATCAACTCCAGTATCATATCATATCGCTACAACAAACAGTAACAGCAACAATATCAATCACAATATCAGCAGTATGTACAGTATCATCATAAAACTTCATAATAAACACATGAATATTGAAAAACCTATCTAGCCTCGGATGAACCATTGTAAAATCACAAATCTTGAAATTTCGTTCTCGGGGCTAGCAAGCTCAATTTGGGAAAAATCCGGTTTTCCGTGCATTTTGTTGGGAGCAAATCGATGAATAGACCCCGCTTTTTCCTCACAGTTTGATGTTTGTGCTGCTGTGCGGGAATCCGGATGAAAGGGCGAGATAAAGAGATGCAAAGAAAAGAAAAGAGAACCCTGGGGTGAAGTTGTGAAGTTGGTTGGCTTTTGCCAGTAAACTGTATATGTACCTGTCTATACCTATTGGCTGCATCTACTTGTACTACTTTTAGCTGGATCAAGTATGTACAAGTAGGTAGACCCTGCATTCATGAGGCTTCCGTAGATATCTAATAACCAGTGAAAATCTATCTGATGTATCATGACATGAACTACATATATTAAAACCAGTTCAGACCGCAGAGTGCAGAGTGCAGATTTCTTGGATAAAAGCGGTACTTGTACAAGTACAGTAGATGCGCACCTATGTGGATTGTGAGTGTGCACCAAATAAGGCTGAAAAGGTCTACTCGTAGAAGCTTTCGGCTATTTCCCTACTTTCCTTGTATGGGAGAATTGGTTTTACCGTTTAAAAATTGTTGGGATTTTGAGAGGAAACGAGTCTATCAAATAAAGAACAAATTCAAAGAAATATAACCCAATATAACCTTTATTTATAAGTTAAGTCATCTAATTTCTTAATGATAATAATATCAAAGAACCTCGGCTCGGATATACAAAGTGTCCGTTGAACTAAACTTCTTATTGCATGCCAAACGAGGGCAGGAATTTATACATTTCTTTTTTTATATTGATATCAACAAGTTCTTCATAACTCCTCTTGATTCTTCTCTACTCAAATTACTCTCTTCATATTAACTTTTGATTTTGTTTGGCAGATTTTGTTGAATTTCACTTCAATTTCTGCCCTTGCCTCATTTGATTTCATCCTGATATCAAAAAGTTCTATTCAAACAATTTGATTTCACTCTGTCGCAAGCAAGCAAGGCTTTACCTCACTCAAATATCTCCAAAACCTCGAAATACCTATAAAATCTACCAAGATGGCTTCCGCAACTGTCCATTTATCACGTCCTTCACCTTCTTTATTTACATTTCCTCCCAAAAATGATCCTCAAACTTTACCTCCTCCAATACCCGGATCGACTCTTTCCGCCCCTCCATTCGCAATCGAACCCTCATGGTACAATGCCGCCCTCGACGTTCGAGTCCCCATCACAATCGCAGCTGTCTATGCTGTAACAGTTACACTCGTCAATCAATATAACAGACGCGCGGGAAATAAACCATGGTCAATCAGTAAAACCAAGGCTTTTTTCGTCTTTGTGGTGGCACATAACATTTTCTTGGCTATATACTCGGGATGGACTTTTATTGGCATGTTTGGAGCCCTTCGAAGGTCAATTCAAAATCCAATGGGTCCAGCTGGTCTCGCAGGTACCGTCGATAGTTTATGCAAAGTACATGGAGTTACTGGTCTGGATAATGCCATGTCTTATAATGCAAGCATGTCACAATGGTCGGCGGAATTGCCAACTGAATTTAAATTGACTAGTGCTGGAACTCCTGATCCTACCGATTTGGGAAGATTATGGAATGAGGGACTTGCATTTTATGGATGGTTTTTCTATCTTAGCAAGTTCTATGAAGTTCTTGATACGGTTATTATTTTGGCCAAGGGAAAGAGAAGTTCGACTCTACAAACTTATCATCATGCTGGAGCTATGATGTGTATGTGGGCTGGAATTCGTTTCATGTCACCACCAATTTGGATGTTTGTATTTGTTAATTCTGGAATTCACGCATTAATGGTAAGTTGAGAAGGATTCTATCAAAAAAGACTCGAAACTAACATTTTATTCCTAGTATACCTATTACACTCTCACAGCATTCTCCGTCCCCATCCCACAAGCTCTCAAACGCAGTCTTACAACCATGCAAATTATTCAATTTCTCATCGGAGCTACATACGCTACAATCCACTCTTTCATCTCCTACACAGTCACCGTCCAAGTTCCTTCCATCCCAGCTACGGTTTCCTCAGTCGCCTCCGCAGCATCCGTAGTAGCTACCTCCGCCGCCGCAATCGCAACCTCAACCGGTGTCTCCAACCTCATCAAGAAACTTCTCTATCGTGCACTTGGCGAAGAAGGTCTAGCCGAAAATGTCAACGCTCCAGCTTTCTCTGATGCAGCTCAAGCACCAATTGCTTCTGCTCGCAACCTTGCTAAACACTCTCAAATCCCAACATATGTCACTGAAACCCGTACAATCCCTTGTATTGATACCAGCGGCCAAACATTCGCAATTTGGCTTAACGTCGTCTATCTTACTCCATTGACATTCCTTTTTGTAAGATTCTTCATCAAATCTTACATCAGAAGAACGAATGCTGCAAGTGGAAAGAAGGCAGGAAGGAAAGCTAGTTTCGTGGCTGCAGAAAAGGCGGGATTAGATGCGTTGAAGGGTGTTGAGAGAGAAATGAGTCGGGGTGACAATGCGCTTACTCATGGACATGGAAAACATTAGAAGCATTTCGTGAAGAAAGAGGGTTAAAGGTTATAAGATTTAGAATGATGCAAAGAGAACAGAGTAACCCATTAAGTACCTGGGAGTATGTACTCACTCGCACATGGGTCAACTCTTCTCTACAATCATTGAAGCATGACGGTGGAAGAAAAAAAGATCAACCTAGAACAAAACAAATCAACAGAACAGAACATCCGAATATTTGGCAATCAAGGGATACACAAAAGTCATTACAGTATGGGAGTGGGGAGTTGGGAGGTAAACGGAATGAAGGTATGTGTTCGTAGTTTGGACTAGGACCAGGAGGGGACGGCAGGGAATCAAGTTTTTCATAAACGTGCGGGCGGGCGGGTGTTTTATGCTATGCTGCTATGGTATGCTACTATGCTACGCTACGCTATGCTACGATGCTAATGTTCGATATGTACCTATGTATTGTATGTGTATGTGTATGTGTATGTGTATGATAGAATGATACCACTACCACAATAATAAATTGATTATCAATTCAGTTACAGTAGTCACTTTTGTATTTTTGGTTTGTTGTTATATTATATTATATTGTATTATCTCATGTTATAAATATTCGATTTTCCTTTCCTTCTTTTCCTTCTTTTCCCTCTTTTCCTTCTCTTCTTAAAATCTGAAATCTTCTACTATTGTAGTTTGTTTGTTGTAGGTAGTGTTTTTGCTGTATGTATGTAGTGCTTGTAATCATCAATCAAATCAAATCAATCGTTAGAAGCCCAAAAATCTACTTAACCATCTATCAATCAAGCCATCTATCATTGTTATTATACTATATATACACATACTCATGCTCATGGTCATGGTCTCATACCTTTCATATTCATATTTCATATTTCATATATACCATCAGCCCCACCTCACACCCCATATACGCCTCCCCCCTCCCTGCATAATTCATTCCCCCTTTCTCAATCTATCTCATCCCCCTCCCCCTCCCCAGCCCAGCCTTCTACACATCCCTCATAGCCACCCCCCCTACCCGAAACATGCACAACAGAAAGGCCACATGTATATATATATCACCCATACATCCCCATCCCCATACCCATCACCCATCCCCCATATCACCCACCCACCTACAAATAAACCCAATTCCCCACCCACATAACCACCAACAAACCACCCACTCTCCACTTCAAATCCTCTCTCATACCCATCATAACTTTATTTCTCCATCTTCTCATCCTTGCCGCATTTCCATTTCCATTTCCATTTCCATTTCCATTTCCACTCCCATTCCCATTCCCAACCACACCCCCACCACCACCCCAATTACCAAATCTGAAATTCTTACTCGGTGTACCCTCTCCATCTTCTACCATTGGTAATAAACCCGGTTTTAGCGGTGCTGCTTGTCCTACACCACTCAATTCATATCCCGCATGATATTGTCCTTGTCCCAAAGTATTCCCTTCACCTCCACCAACCCCCCCATCAACAATCCACCCCGCAATCCCCCCCGTACTCCCCTCCACCCTCCAAGCCACCCACCCAAAAACCACCGTCAACAACCCCCCCTCCACCCACCTCCCTAACACCCCCACCCTCAGTACCCCCTTCAAATCCGCCGCCATCCAAATATGACTCTGCAACACAAAAGTTTCCAAACTGCACCTACCCAACCACGCAAACACCGTCGAATGATACGTCCTTAGAACGCGATGCGAATTTCGGAGTCGTATAAAGGCAAGGATGGGGATGCAGGAGATATAGGGATGCCACCAGAGGTAATCTTCTTTATTAGATGAACGTTGGGTTAGGAGACGGAAACACGGGAGGAGAATGAGAGAGCTGGTTATGGAGAGGGTTTTGAAGAGGGTGGGGTGGCGGGCTATGGGTCGAAGGAGGATGTCGATTTTGGAGGTGCAGCTTATGGAGGCGGTTTTGACGCGTGTGAGACGTTGGTAGAGAATCGCGGTTATCATGCCGATGTAAACAATAAACATGTCCATCGAAGCACGATATCTCCATTCTTTCATATTCCATGTAATCGCACATGAATACTTGAGAATAAAAGCCAAGACTTCCAAAATACCAGGTATCTTGATGAAAGCCGTCGTAAGTACAGCTGAGACGAAGATCTTCCCCAACAAGAACCCGATATTGGAATTATCCTCTCGTCTAATCTTCAAGGTAAAGTAGACTACCAAAAACCAGAAGCTGACTAGTGGTACAAAATAATGAGCCATATAATCAGTACGCATCATGTATGCCAGGGCACAAGTTAATAAATTGAGTCGAATGAGAACACCGGCTACTCTCTTGAATGAATAATCTTCTCTCTTCAGAAAATACATGGTATGACCATAGCCGGTCATGAAAAGATAACCCGCCACCAGAATCCGCATGATTTCGAATAACCATAGCGTCTTCGAACCATGGGTATAATGATAAATGAGAATCAAGAATTGCATCCATCCTTTCCACTCATCCGTTTGATCTCTCGAGAGAAATCCATGATCGGGGGAGTGAGCTCCAACTTCATGGATTCCCTTGGAAGGACTCAAAGGATTGCTCGTTCGGACTGTGACCAAACCAGCAATAAGTACAACGGAAGAAGCAATCAGAAATTCTCTCCTACGGAATTGCTTATGCTCTTTCTCAAATAACTGTGTTCGATCTGCGTAATAACAATAGCAAATTACCAAAGCAAAAGTCATAAAAGCACCCAGAACCTCTGGCGGAGGTAAGAAACGACCAATTCGTAGAACATGCTTACGACGTAGTAAAAAGACACAAGGAAGTAAGATCATTCCAACGAGAAGGAGAAGCCATTGAATAGCATTTGGTTGTCGATAGTTATGACAACATGTTCGTTCGTATGGATACCCTCGTTCGGCAGCATCCGCATTACAACGAAGGTTAAGTAGAACATCAGCTTTCCGATGCGCAACATTATCAACCACATGCAATCCACTCTCCTCATATTCACCTCGACCAGCCCAAGTCATGAGGGAATAACTCCACACAATATCCGCTTCCGAATGTGCAGAAACTTGTTGCAGATAATCATTCATCTGGTCAATCTTTTCCGGTGTGATGGTTTCCTCTCGAGATGGTGATAATGCCTGATACCATGGTACCTGAACCGGAGCCAATAGCAAGAAATTCGGAGATTTCTTCCTCGAAGGAAATGGTTGTGAGGCTGCGGCTCGTAACGCATGTTCTCCCCCAGCATGATCCATAAATGGAATCACATGTTCAATCGAATCTCTAAAATCCTTGAAGAAATTCTCCTGTCCATGTCTCGCATACCATAATCCTGGAGCCCCCAATAAGATCAACCCTGCACTCTCATCCACCTTGGAATCTTGCGCGGGATTGGCATCAAAGCTCTTTAACTCTCGATCCAGTCCCGTAGAATTCAAATATGGATCCCAAATGAAATTAACCGTCACACCCGAAGAACTAAACTCCAAATCTTTATGTTTCTCTTCCATATCTAAATGTTCCGTGATTTCTTCCTCGGCCCTTTCTTGATCCATCTTCTTTGCAACAGCCCAGAAAATCTGTCGAGTCGTGGAATCTCCAATGAAGACTAATCTGCGTTCTTGGAAACATTCTTGGATATCTTTTCGTTTGTATTCATACATCATACATCCTGGAGGTTGCCAATTCTGAAAAGGATTTCTCGAGCTCCATCTTGGACCTGGATCGAGCCATTGGCCTTTATTGAGTAGAGCACCGCATTTGTATGGGTCGGTTATATCTGCAGAATTGGTTGTTAGTATATATTCACTGTGAGCATCTGGGGAGCATGTAGTCGAGGGGAATGGGGGAATTACCTATCCAGCAATATCTATAGATAACGCAAGCAATGATGATTGAAAGAAGAAGCTGAAAACCCTTCTCAATCACTACCGCAGCTCGATTTGGCGCAGAAGGAATCGTCAATCTAAGACGAGACATATCTTCGATAATGCAATCCTTCTACCAACCCACTGTCAAATCTACTCCATTCGAATATTGCTCTTTCGTCCAGTCCAGTCCAGTCTGATCCAATCCAATCCGTTCGTATGTATGAAAACCCAGTAAATCAAGCTCGCTGATCTGACAACAAAGCAATAAGGCTATCTTATCAATCGTCCGGAAACGAATGCAATCAAACCACTCTCGATTTGGCACAAAGTCCTACTGTATCCTATCCTCAACTTCGAACTTCGCTGATCTGAAAACAAACCAACAAGGCTATCTTAACAATCGTGTAGTATCGAATGCAATCAAAGCACTCTCGTTTTGGCACACAAAGTCCTTCCTATCGTATCCTATCCTCAACTTCAAGTGCGATTACCTTTTCCTTTCCTTTCCTACCTAGTATCCTCTACAAATAAGCTCCAACAGAAACGACAGCAGGAAGTAACACTCAACCACCGTTCCATACACAACAGGAAAGAAGAAGAAGAAGAAGAAGAAGAACGGAACAAAACATGACTTTCTAATAAATTCCAGGGTCTCCGTATGTATGTATTTCCGTCTGTAAAAGAGGGTACAGTAAGGATAGAGAACTTTTGAAGGTAAAGTCTTGGCTTCTCCCTATATGATCAAATCACATTGAACATCACTTCATCCTTGTATTTGGATGGATGGCTCAATTGCGATTTACATACTTCTATGGGAGGTTTTGATCCAATAATTTCATATGTTCAAGTCATGCCAATACGGATACAAGGCACATTTTCTCACAAACTAGTTCTACTCGAGTACTAGGAAATATGCCAAGAGCTTGTTTGTATCAGCCTTGTAATTTATATTTCTTGGTATAGTTCGGTATAAGTCGGTACAGTCAGTATAGTACTATAGTATATAGCATCTAAGAATATAAACCTTTCTTTGAACCCCTCACACATTTTTATGCTATTAACATGGTTCTTACACTTACATTCTATGTTATCCCGTGTAATCCTCATCATCCATCGGTCTCGAATTACCCCAATCTCATCGCATGCACACCTTCCCTATCCATCCCATCCCCATATGCATCCATCCATTCCCGTCCGCCCCCCCCATCTCTCATTCCTAACCACATACCATACAAACAATACCCACGCAACCCTCCAAAAGAAGCATTCCCATCCCATCCCATCCCATCCGATTTGCGAAAACCCCCAAAAAGCGGGAACATTTTCCAAAAACCAACCAATCAATTAAGAGTATTATTGAAATCAATCTTGGCTTATCTCAGCCTTTTTATCCCTAGCTTTTATCAGATCAAAACATCAAAACCCACCCCAACAAAATCAAACCTAAACCCGG